AAATGACCTTCACAAAATATGCTTCTTATTCTCTTCTTAGAGCTAAAAGACTTGATTATAAGTAGATATATGTGTGTGTGTGTGTGTGTGTGTGTGTGTGTAGTTTCCAGCTAAATATAATAAAGTGAAACTCTTACCAATTTAATTAGTAGGGTTAAAACAGTCCCTTTCCAGGTGATGGAATGCAAAAGAAAAAAAAAAGAGAGAGAAAACAATCCCAAACAGCCAGACACAATGGTTCATGCTTGTAATCCCAGCACTTTGGGAGGCTGAGGCATGTGGATCACCTGAGGTCAGGAGTTTGAGACCAGCCTGGCCAATGTGGTGAAACCCCGTCTACTAAAAATACAAAAAATTAGTTGGGTGTGGTGGTGCATGCCTGTAATCCTAGCTACTAGGGAGGCTGAGGTAGGAGAATTGCTTGAACCCAGGAGGAGAGGCAGAGGTTGCAGTGGACCGAGATCGTACCACTGCACTCCAACCTGGGAAAAAAGAGTGAAACTCAAAAAAAAAAAAAAAAAAAAAAAATCCCAGTGGAATTTTTAAAAATTGGTAAAATGGTTCTAAAGTTCATCTGGAAGAATAAATGGGACTATTAATAATAGAATTCTAAAAATTAAGAAATAAGAAGTTAGACTTGCTCAAAAGGATATTAAAACATATGAAGCCGACAACCCTTTCCACAATTATAGTTAAATAAGAAGCTCTTAAACATCTAATACAAAGTGCTTAGGCATCTCTGTAGTTTTAAAAACAGTATATGATGAAGTAATTGTAACAGAGAAAGTGATGAATCATTTAGTAAATGATGTTGGAATAATGGCTAAAGAAGGATAAATTTTTACTTTAAACTGTATTCCAAAATAAATTCTAGGTAAGTTAAAGGAATGTAAAAAATTAAAAGCATTATAAACTACAAGGGAACACAGAAAATATGTAACAGATTCAGGATGTGGTAAATCACTAAATCCAATGAATGTAGGACCAATTGATAGTCTTGACTGCGAACCCTCTTTTTATTCCCTTTGCTTCCTTTGGCTTTCATAACACTTCCCTAATCTTTCTCTTACCACTTTGGCCACTACTTCTCCAGTGACTTTGCAGGATTATCCTTCTCTGGAGACCATTATATGTTTGAGTTCCTCTGGGCCCATTCCTTCTCTACACTGTCTCCCAAGGATTCTCATCATACCCATGGCTCCAGTGACCGCTTCCAGTCAGGTGACTCAACTCCTGCCTAGCCATTTCCAGCTTTTCAGTAACTGTCAGGATCCATGCAGGAAACGTATGGCACATTCCAAATGGCTAATTAAGAAGACTTTAGTTAAGAGATCATTTACAAAGGGTTTAGGGAAAGCAACAAAGGATAATGGTACAGTGTCTTAGGGAACATTACTGCCTTAAGCTTCAACAAGGAAGGAGGTGGAAATGATGACTCAATGAGAGAGACAGAGGGAGGAGGAGATGGCAAAGGAGCGGTAGAAGTAGGAGAAGGTGGGGAAGAGGGGCAGGAGAAGGAAGGGAAAGAGAGAATGCAGTATGGAGATAATGTGGAATAAATAATCAGCCTTCCTTCAGTCTTCTGCTTCTACCTCCCATTGGCTGAAGCTAACTAGAAGCCAGAGAACATGGGAACTAGGCGCTGAGGATACATTTCATACAGGTCAGTCTCTCTGGACACAGCAGAGCTGAGAAAGGTGGAGAGTGACTCTGTGGGAAAGCAGAAGATCCCCACCTAGCATTCCCCTCCTACTGGCTTCTTCTCCATGACCTCCCAAGAGCATTTCAAACTCAACGGGTCCAAAATTGAGCTCATGAACTGCCCACTGCTTACCCTCTCCTCTTGAAAAACAAACTAACAGAAATCCAAACTGGTCCTTTCTCAGTGTTTTCTTTCCTTTTTGTTAAGTTTATTTTCTTGCATTTCTTATTTTTAAAATTTTATTGTATACATTTCAGTTGTACAACATGATGTTTTGATTTACATATAGAAAGTGAAAAGGTTACTATAGTCAAGCAAATCAACATATCCATTAACTCATATAATTACTCATTTTTTGTGCGTGACAAGAGCACCTAAAATCTACACTTTTAGGGAAAACCTCAAGTACAGTGCAATATTATTTAGTGGAGCCCTCCTGTTGTACATTAGATCTCCTAGTGCTATCTTATGTCATCAAATGGTATCAATGTCAGGTCTGAATTCTCATTACCATGTAGGAATGGAGTGGACTGGGGAAACAGTAGGAGCTAATAGATCACAGAAGTGATGACAGAAGGGACTAAAGCAGTGTTGGTAAATATGAAGGGAAATGGACAGATTAAAGTTGATAGATTGAAGAGATAGTTAGAAAGCAAAATCAGGCTGGGCACGGTGGCCACGCCTATAATCCCAGCACTTTGGGAGGCCGAGGCGGGTGGATCACGAGGTCAAGAGATCAAGACCATCCTGGTCAACATGGTGAAACCCCGTCTCTACTAAAAATACAAAAATTAGCTGGGCATAGTGGTGCGCGCCTGTAGTCCCAGCTACTTGGGAGGCTGAGGCTGGAGAATTGCTTGAACCCAGGAGGCGGAGGTTGCGGTGAGCCGAGATCAAACCATTGCACTCCAGCCTGGGTAACAAGAGCGAAACTCTGTCTCAAAAAAAAAAAAAGAAAGCAAAATCAATAGGATTTGGGGGTTTGATAGAATTGGATGTTGGGGGTGAAAATAATATGGTTGTCAAAGATGACACCATAGATTTCAGGAAGGGGGCAGAACTCTTTAAAACGAACTTTATTAACCCTGCATAGTCATCTTCTCCCAGCTCCATCCTCCAACCTCTCAACCTTTCCAGCTTCATCTTAAACCAAGGCCCTCTCAGGATCTGGTGACATTTACTTTCTTTCATCCCTCATATTTCTTGTGCTTGTTCCTGAGCAGGACCTTTGCACCTGTGGTTCCCACTACCTGTAATGCCCTTACCCAGCTACCTAACTCCATTTGATCATCCATAGTTCAATCACCATTTCCCCAGGGAAGCTTCCCTGATTTCCTTAATTAGGCCTAATTTTCCTATTAGAGCTCTCACATATTGGGTACCTTCTTTTCGTAGGATCTATCCACTGGCAGCTCACACTCATTTGTGTGGCTTTTCAGCTTAATATCTGCCTTACCCTCAATCCCCCCAGTAGGATATAAACTAGGGACTGTAACTTTTTTGGCTCACTTGTGTATTCTTATAGCCTGGCACCTTGTGGTTGCTACACACACATGCGCACGCGCGCGCGCGCGCGCGCGCACGCACACACACACACACACTAGTGAATGAATAACAGTAAAAGCAATAGAATGTATTACATAGAAAAATACTGGTATGTTTAATTACATTGAGACTCTTCTCTGCATTAAATAATGGTACATAGCAAATAATGAACAAGTGATAAACTTGGAGACATAATCATAACATACAGACAAAAAAGATTATATCTTCAATAGAATTCTTACCACATCAACAATAAAATTACTGATAATGCCTAATAGGAATTGGAAAACGCAAAATTAAAAAACTCCAAAAAAAATCCCATAAAGAAAAAGCGTTCTGACTGCTTCTCACTGTAAAAATTGAACCCCAAATAAAACTAACCTAAACACTAAGGAAATAATATATTTTTGCATGTAACCAGAAAGTCATGTTGATGTCTCTGACGATCACAAGATAACACCTAGCAGCAATGTGGGGCATATAGACTTTCCTGTTCACATTCATCAGAATAGAAGTAGAATCTCTCTCTTTTTTTCTTTTTTTGAGACAGAGTCTCACTCTCACCCAAACTGGAATGCAGTGGCGTGTTCTCTGCTCACTGCAACCTCTACCTTCTGGGTTCAAGCAATGCTCCTGCCTCCACCTCCTGAGTGGCTGGAACTACAGGCACCCACCAACATGCCCAGTTTATTGTTTTATTTTTGTTAGAGGCAGGGTTTCACCGTGTTGACCAGGCTGGTCTCGAATTCCTGACCTCAAATGATCCACCCACCTCGGCCTCCCAAAGTGCTGGGATTATAGGCGTAAGCCACCACACCCGGCTTTAGAATCTCTTTTCTAGCAACAAAATACAAGTGCTCCTTCTCAGCCTTTTTGACTCAGTTTAGGACCAACCTGGATCAAATCTCCTGTCAGAGGAATGCCATGTTTTGATTGCAAACCTTTCACTAGCAGAAGAGATTGGATTACTATGCTTGGTTTAACAGTAATCAGGACTCATTCCTAGAGCCGGGGTCAATTCCAGAAACTGCATTGTTGTTGAGGAGTGAAATACAATGTCCACTGTAATTGACCATAACCATAGGAAAGAAATGGCCAACTTCAAGAGTGAGGAAGATAGAAGAAAATAAAAACAGCTGTGAGGCATCATTTTTCAACTCTCAAATTTAAAGCTGGCTTTTAAAAAATTATACCACTCACTGAAAATGGATATAAATTGATTTAACTTTTCTGGAGGGCATTTTGGCAATATATGAAACACCTTTAAAACATTTATGACAAATTTTGGAAAGTATATGTGTGTAGAAATAAGAAGGAAACACAAAAATGTTCATGTGGTTGCCACTGGGTAGTAAGTTTATAGATGATTTTTATTTTCTTTTTAATATTTTCCATAGTTTTTTTTAAACAGGCCTAATTACATTTATTTAAACACAAAGAACGCAAAGTAACCTGTTATTTCAGAACATGGACAAATTCCAGTCAAGAATATCCTCTAGAAGCTTGAAAGGTGGTAAAAGTAGTTTTATTTGCTCTCTCAAGGTATGAAAAGAAAAGTCAAGAATATCCTCTAGAAATTTGAGAGGTGGTAAAAGGGGATTTATTTGCTCTCTCAAGGTATGAAAAGAAACTATCTGAATCAAAGAGTCTGAGTTATGGAATTATCTGCTTCTGAGGTTCTAGTGCAGCCCCATTGGCCTGGAATTCAGGAAAAAAAGATACAAGGCATAAAATCCCACAGAAAGTTACATAGTTGCAACAGAACATGTAGCATTTATTGTTTGTTCTTCTAATTAAACCTCTAATTTACCTCACTAGGCACTTGCCTACTGGCTTCTTTAGTGAATAAAGTTGAGGCCATCTGACTGGACTTAGCTTGAATTAATGTCATGTTCATTGAGGAGAATGGTTGAACATTTTTTTAAAAAACATGAGCCTAGGAAATATCTGAACTCACTTTTAACATGAGTCTGAACATGTAGGATAAAGCAATGTGTGTTACTGAACTGGGATTTCCAATAGATATTTAACGCAACATGATTTGGTGATGATGTTCTTTCTTTAGATTTAATTTCATAATTTCCACACTTACTCTCAGACCACTCTCTCAGTTCTCTTTCTGCCTTAACCATCACCACTAAGTAACATGGGATAAGTCACTTAATCTCTGCTGTATCCTTTCAAAAACACGCCTCTGTCACAGAATTTCCTCTCTCTAAACATCTCTTAAGTTCTGTTGGTGTGAAGAATTAGTAAGTCTCTTCTGGTTGTATGAATTTAGGAAAGCATTTACATTAATGAGGGAATATTGCATTTTAATAGTCCTCCCTTAAAAGACTTTACAACAATTTTTTTTAGCTAGATGAGATGGGAATATATATGCTATCACCAGATTCCATTTATCAGTCATCCAGCAGTTACAGCAAGCCAGCAGCTCTGCCTGCGCCTGAGTTGGTGATGAATAGACAAGTGAGGACTACAGAGGCAGGAAATATGGGGTTAGGTTTATTTCCCTCTATTAGCAGCAGCTTAAACCAGCATGCTGGGCAGCACTGTCTCCTATTGGCTACAGCTGCTGAGAGCAGCAGGCTGAGGGTTGACCTATATCTGTCAGGTGTAGGTCAAACCCTGAATTTGTTTGTTGCAAACTTCAGTCTTCTAGAACGCTAAGTTTCACTTATGCTCAACCACATACAGTATTTTTCTCAGGAGCTGTGATATTCTCCACCTGCAAAGAGCTTGCATCTGTGAGTTTCCCTCTCTGGATTCTTTCGCTTTCTTTCTCGCTGCCTCTCCCTCCTGTGACCCTTTTACCATTTTTGTCCCCTGCTTCCGTGTCATCCTCTGGCTGAGAAGGGTTGAGATGGTCACAGCTGTGCTCCTTCTAGTAATCACAGTAACATGAGCCCTTCTCTGCCTGCCCCAGTTTCCATCTGACCAAGCTGTGCCCGTTCCTTTCAGTTGCAGTTATTGCCCCAGGTTGGCACAGCCTGTGCACATGTGTGTTCTTCTGGGCCACCACAGGTTTCAGAATGTGTCAGTTGCTAATTACGACTGCAGCTGTGGAAAGAAATACAGCACACATTCAAAATGTGGGTCCTAAAGTTCCTACACAGTCAATGTTTCTTGATAATTTTAAGGCCAATTTTTTTTCTTATTTTTTTTTTAAAGATAGACTTTAAGTATTTAGACATGTATTTTTCTAGATGAGAGAATAAACTATTTGAATTTTCATTTGTTCAGCCACCATCTAACTGTGACAAAGGTCCTTTCCCTCTGCCTTAGGTCTCAATCAATATATGTATGTTGTTTGGGGACTTGATTGGTATTGTGTTTGTATTTATTTACACTGACATCACAATTTGAAACTGATCGTAGTCAGTTCTGCCTTCATGCTAAAGCATGAGTACACTGTGGGCTTCTGTATACAATGCAGAAACTGCATTCCATGTCCCATTATCATTTCTTCATGGAGGCCTTGTAGTAAGAGTAAAGAAGCCCAAAGGATGGAAAAATTAGTCTAGCAACTCAGGTCCCCAAGCATACAAAATACGTCACAGTAATTTGAGATGGAAAAGACCTATTAAGTCATCCCACTGATTCTCTGAGGATATGTGGTGTTTTTTCCCTCTCTAACATGCTAATCTACTTTTTAATGCCTTTTCCAATTGTAAATGGCGCAAGTGATGGGGTTTCCACCGTTCCCAAGGGGTGATGCTGTACAGCCTATAATAGATCTCTCCGTTCGGGCATGTGACTTATTCAGCCGCCTAAATCATCTGTGTTTTGACTTTTATTTCCATCACTCCTCCTGCTGTCCCCTTGGACACTAAATAATTTCTCTCTGTCCCCGCTATTTACACCCTTCAAGTACTTGTGGCTGATGAGCCAGTCCCGTTAGAGCCGTGTGGTCATGCTAGGAGACTTGTCTCTTTCATCTGCCCTCTGAAGGCAGTCCCTTTAGACATATACATCATATTTGTTGCTCTTCAGTGAATGCCCATCAGTTTCTTAATAATTTGACTCATTTCTTTGTTACTGATGCTGCTCAGGAAAATCCCCTTTGTCTCTATTGCTGCAAAATAAGATGATGGTAGTAGAATCTCTGCTAACAGAAAACAGAGCAGAGCTTTTCAGCTACCAGGCATCTTCCTACCCAGGGACAGTGGAATCATCTAATCAGTTATCATTAACTCTCTCACTTGCGGTGCACAATTGCTATGTTAACAGGTGTTTGGTGTGCATGTGGAGAGAGGGATAGTTCATCTATATTTTATCTGGCCAGACTTTGTTGTGGTATATTTAGTTAATGCCCATTCACTGTTTAACTCTTATTTCTCCACCCACCTCAATTCTCAGTTGGAAAAGCTTCCTTGAACTCCCTCAAGAGAATGTTAACCTACTCCTTTCCATTAATACGCCCATGTTTACTGTTACTAAATTGTGTGACATCAGTGACATCAGCACCTTTGCCAGAGGAGGAATCCCTTTGCTATGAGAGAGGCAGAGTGTGCCCTTTACCTTGAACAAACATGAATGGTACTGCAAACCAGGAAATTCTGGCAGTGGGTGTTGTAATGCCAGGGTCAATACTGTTCAGCCTGTCCCCTCTGTACCCCTCTCCAGAGCCTACTCCCTGGCTACTCTGTGTGCTAACGCACCATCTAAAGCACTGAATTTAATAAGGTCTGGCCTACTGTGCTCACTGTTCATCTTTATGCAATAGTAGTAATACCAACATAGTGCTTCACAAACTTTTTATCTAACTGCATCATCCCATTTTATAGTTACAACCAACCTGTGAATAAGGAATTAATCATCTTTCTTTTGCCTGGGAGGAAACTTTGAGAGGCTCTATTGCCCCAAATTTCACAAACATCCAGTAAATTCTCCTTTGGAGTCCCTCTTGTTCTCCCTCTGAAATCACTGGAGAATATGCTTTCTGAGCAATATGTGAAGAGGTGCTAACTGCATGTAAGTTTCTAAAGTCACTGAAATGCTGGCCATGGAATAATGTTGATCTGTGTTCTCCTTTTAGCAGAAATAGAGTAGCTAGACATCATCCACAATTGTATATGAATCCTATTATTTATCAGGGATAATTCTGTGTTATTCGATGACAGAAAGAGTATATTAAAATTTATAAGATATAGCCTGCTATCTCTTCCTAAACAATAATGTAATACTATGAGGCATGGACTAAAAGTGAGCTTATCTATTCAAACGCCAATTCAGACCCTAAGGGTATCTGTTTTTCCTGCAAAGTTGATGAGATTATACACCTAAGATAAAAGAAGAAAGAGCTGCTGGGCGCGGTGGCTCAAGCCTGTAATCCCAGCACTTTGGGAGGCCGAGGCGGGTGGATCATGAGGTCAAGAGATCAAGACCATCCTGGTCAACATGGTGAAACCCCGTCTCTACTAAAACTACAGAAAATTAGCTGGGCATGGTGGCGCGTGCCTGTAGTCCCAGCTACTCAGGAGGCTGAGGCAGGAGAATTGCCTGAACCCAGGAGGCGGA